GCCTCCAGATAATCCTTTGCCCGTCAACAGTCCACCCTGGAGCCACAGAGATCTCACTCCCATCAGGCAGCCTTTAGTGGTTCCCCAAATTCTGGACATTTACATGGCCCAGGGCCCCCAAGACCCACTGCCTGATTCTCCAGCCTCTTATCTTTCCTCTCTCCTTGCCCTCCATCCAGAAAGGCTGAAATATTTGTAATTGCCCCAACTATCGTCATGTTTCAAGCCTTTGTACTTTGCACACATTCTTTTCTGTGGACTGATGATCTCGCCCCACCCCTCCCCTGACACCTCCTCCATCCTTACCCTTGCTCTTTATTTCTTACCTGGCAGAGCCCCATTCATTCTTCAACACTTCCAGTTCCTTTGTGAAGCCTTTCCTGACCCATAACTCCATCTCAATCCCCAGAATCCCTCGGATGAATGGATCCTGTTCCCTAAACATGCATCTTTCACTATACCTGTCACTCATTGTATCTGTCAATCATTAAAATACCGACTCACCAGAGAAATGCAAATCAAAACCACCCTGAGATACCATCTCACTCCAGTAAGATTGGCAGCCATTAGGAAGTCAAACAACAACAAGTGCTGGCGAGGATGTGGGGAAAAGGGTACACTTGTACATTGCTGGTGGGACTGCAGATTGGTGCAGCCAATTTGGAAAGCAGTATGGAGATTTCTTGGAAAGCTGGGAATGGAGCCACCATTTGACCCAGCTATTCCCCTTCTTGGTCTATTCCCTAAAGACCTAAAAAGAGCATGCTACAGGGACACTGCTACATCGATGTTCATAGCAGCACAGTTCACAATAGCAAGACTGTGGAACCAACCTAGATGCCCTTCAATAGACGAATGGATAAAAAAAATGTGGCATTTATACACAATGGAGTATTACTCTGCATTAAAAAATGACAAAATCATAGAATTTGTAGGGAAATGGATGGCATTAGAGCAGATTATGCTAAGTGAAGCTAGCCAATCCCTAAAAAACAAATGCCAAATGTCTTCTTTGATATAAGGAAAGTAACTAAGAACAGAGTAGGGACGAAGAACAGGAGAAGAAGATTAACATTTAACAGGGATGAGAGGTGGGAGGGAAAGGGAGAGAGAAGGTAAATTGCACGGTAATGGAAGGAGACCCTCAGGGTTATACAGTGGAGGGGGTAGAGAGAGAGGAGGGGAGGGGAGGGGAGAGGTGGGGAGGGGGGAGGGTGGATGATGGGAAAGGCAGCGGAGCACAACAGACACTAGTATGGCAATTTGTAAATCAATGGATGTGTAACTGATGTGAATCTGCAATCTGTGTATGGGGTGAAGGTGGGAGTTCATAACCCACTAGAATCAAAGTGTGGAATATGATATGTCAAGAAATTTGTAATGTTTTGAACAACCCACAATAAAAAATTAAAAAAAAAAAAAAAAAAAAAAAAAAAAAAAAAAGAATAGCTCTTTGTTTTTAGAGATTCAAGTGACAACCTGCTTCACCTTAAATATTCAGAATAATCTTCCTATACTTATTTTTTTTCAGTTTAATTATGTTTACAAATTTCCTTTGTAGTACAAGGTAACATATTCAAAAATTCTGAGGGGCTGGGATTGTGGCTCAGCGGTAGAGCGCTCGCCTAGCACAGGCGGGACCCTGTTGGATTCTCAGCACCACATTAAAAAAAATAAAGGCATTGTGTTGTGTCCATCTACAAAAAAGATATTCTCTCTCTCTCTCTCTCTCTCTCTCTCTCTCTCTCCTTTCTCTCTCTCTAAAAAAAAAAATTCTGAGTGTGGGAAGCCATCCATGAAATACATGAGGATCTTCTATTAGCATGTAGCCAGGGAGAGTCAGGCCTGGCATTGGGAACTATCTGTGGCTCTCCCATGGCAATATATTGCCCAGTGCTCATGACCTTTCCCTCCCCTTTGCTAAGAAGCTTCCTCTTAGTACCTCTGGAGATGGGAATAACTGGTTAGGAACTAAATAGCCCACCTTTAACTTTTTTTTGAGAAGAACATTCTATAGAATCTCTTTGATGTTTTCTGATATAAATAAAGCAAGTGTGGGCTCCATTTTGTCTCAAAGCTTGATCCGTCTAATCAGCTTGCCCATCCTGCCACCACTTTTGAAATTAAAAAAAAAAAAAAAAAAAAAAAAAAAAATAAAATACCGACTCACATGCCTGCCTCTCCCCTCTTTTATTTCCAGGACTGAGGACTGAACTGAGGGTCTTGTGCGTGCTAGACAAGTGTTCTGCCACTGAGCTAAATCCCCAACCCCTTGCCCTGTCTCTTTCACCGGTTCTTTACAGCTGTGTGGGACCCAGTATGTGGTAGGTGCTGCGTGAAAGGTGTTGCACTGGAGTGACTCCATCTCTGCACCTTGACAAGTCCTTTAAATGCTCTGAACCCCAGTTCAGATGGAGTGATATGAGAATCAGAAGACAGCACGTATATTAAATAACTTTATAAATGACTGAGTGCTATGTGAATGTTTCTGTTGCATTTTTGTCTTCCAGACTAGTGTTTACCTACACTTGCCTGTGTGGAAATCCTCAGATTAAAGGAATGAGATGTGATCTTTTTTGTAATTTCTCCACCTTTCCAGTCAAAGGAAAAGCTGGTTAGGAGTAAACCATTAATCCGTCTCCCTTGCAGGCCCCCAGTCTTCTCTGGAGCTCTGGGTTAATGATTCCAATGTTGTTTTCTTCACAGGGCCAATTAGTGTCTAATCTTTGGTATGTTCCCTGCTTTCTTAAGAATAACTTGACTCACTTCAATAATTCCTCAGCCTGGGGTCAGGAACCTTGTTTTGAAGGAGGAAATGGTGGATGTGAATAGTCTTGAATTGTCTTCCCTTCTTGACAGGGTCCTCCATTCCATGTCCACTATTCCCTATAAGGACCAAAAAGACCTCTCCCCACCAAAAAGTTGAAGTCTGCAACTACCCTCAGAAGTAGCTTTAGGAATTAGCTGTGGAAATTCTAGCAATTGTGGCCTAACTCACAACTTCCTTCCTGTGAGGTTTGAGGATTTGTTTTTGGAATTCCAGGAGAAAGAATTCTGGTCCTGACTTTCAAGAGTTACTTTCAGGGGTGGGGGTGGGGGTGGGGTGGGAGGGATGGGGGCAGGGACTGGGCTGCGTGGAGTGGTCCCTGGTGGAGAGCAAGGCCTGGAATTCCAGGCGGGAGGTCTGTTTACAGCCGAGGCTGGGGATAGAGGTCTGTTAGCCAGACACAGCTTAATGGTGGTCTGGACACTCTTTAGATAAGGCCATCTAGGGGCTGTGAGCTCACTAAAGTTCAAACACCAACTCACAGTTGCTCACGACCAGGAGTCTCCCCAGCCCCCATCCCTTCCTCCTCTTAATCCAGTAAATTCCATGCTCACCTCTGTAGAGTTTTGGCAAGTCTCAGGTTCTTGTAGTGCTCCTGTCTCTTGGGACTTATTCACTTTGCCTGCACCCCGTGACTCCGATACATCTCTGCATAAAAAAGTGGGTTAGGGAAACACTGTTCTGCAAATGTCCCACTGAGTGACAAAGCAAGCTACCTTCTTGAGCCAACAGTGTTCTCATTTGTAAAATAGGGATATCATTCCTTTTTCTAATAGCCAATCCCAGCCCTTATACATGTCATTTAAAATATGAATTTTAACAAAAGAGGCTCCCATGCCACTTTGGGACATATCACAGAAAAGCGAAAGCACCAAAGAAAGGAATTAAGACATATCTGGGGCAATAACAACTTTATTACATCTGCCACCGTGATTTTAGGGCTGATAAACAGCAACAAACAATAAACGCTCAACTATACCCCTCTCGCTAAAGATATACAATTCTCAGTGGGTTGTGGTGGCTCATACCTGTAATTCCAGCAGCTCTGGAGGCTGAGACAGGAGGATCTCAAGTTTGAGGGCAGCCTCAGCAACATAGCAAGGCCCTAGCAATTTAATGAAACCCTGTCTCAAAATAAAAAACCAAAATGGGCTGGGGATGTGGCTCAGTGGTTAAGCATTCCAGGTTCAATTCCTGGTAAGTCGTATGCCTGCCTCCTTGTTCCTGCCTCTTGCTTTGCCACCATAAAGAAAACTATCATTCAGGTTCATGTGTTTACCATACCCTTTTGTCTACATTTTTACCAAACATGTATGCAATACATTATTTGATCTTGTTTTTTAACTCTTTTTTTTTAGGTGTAGATGGACACAACACAATGCCTTTATTTTTATGTGGTGCTGGGGATCGAACCCAGTTCCCGCCCGTGCTAGGCGAGTGCTCTACCGCTGAGCCACAATCCAAGCCCTTTTAACTCTTTTATAAGTAAATTATATTCTATTCTGTGATTTGCATTTTTAAAAATATAACTGAGCAAAATGTATCTACACTGATTGTCACTTTCAAATATTTCAATCCATATCCCATAGTCCTATCAGTTGTGTTGATGGAAATTTGGTCTACTTCCAGTGCTTAATATTATTTTGCTATCAACATTCTCATGACCATCTCCTAGAAAATGTATGATTGTTTCTCTGGGGTGTATGCCTAGGCAGGGAATTGCTAAATCTAGACAGTGTCCTCCCTGTTCTGATTGCCAGCAAATGTTGCTGCTCCCCCCTTCCCCCACCTCAAGAGGAGGACCTCCATGTTCTCAATCTATGGACCTTTAGGGGGAAGAAAAATCACCAAGAGTAGGGAAATGGTAGAGTTCCCAGCCCACCGTCTGTGACTGTCAGCCATCACCCTGGGTCACCCAAAGAGGGAGCATTCCTATTGACACAACTGAGCATGGGTGTGAGAGGGGGCAGGGGGTGGGTCTCAAGCTGCTGCACAGCTGAATCCACTGTGATGTCACAGAATCCACTGTGATGTCACTGCTGAGCTGTGGAACATGGAAATTCAGACACAACTCAGCAGACCATTCTCAGGTTGAATGGTTCTTTATTTAATCTGCAGTAAAGGAAGCTGGAATAGGCTCTTTTGGGATAGTCCCCTGATCCTTGGGCCCCTGTTAACTTCTGGCTCTGGGTTGTATTTCATGGGTTTCAAAGGTCATCATCTCCATGACCTCAGATGTCACAGAACCAGTGAGGTCCAGACCCTGGCCACTCTCTGCTGTCTCCATGATGGCCTCCATGGTGGTCCTCTCTTCTCTCTTAGCCGTGACGTCCATATCTCTGCCGTGCACTGAGGCCACCCCTTTAGTGGTAAGGTTGGCTTTGACCGTCTTCAAGAAAGAGCTGATCCTGCCCATTCTCTTGTTGGCCGAACCGGAGCTGGTTGTTGATAAGCTCCTCCCAGACTTGTGGGAGCTCCTGGACTCCTTGGTGATGGGGGAGCGACTGATGCCTTTGTGGGTACTGCTGTGCTTGCTGCCTCCGGGGCTGCTGCGACTTTTCCCCTTTTTATCCTCTCTAACAGTTCCGCGGCCAGTTGACTTCCGAGAGATCTTGTCCCCTGTCTTGTGGCGACCTTCACCCCTGCGGTGATGGGTACTCCTACTCACAGTTCTGTCCTTTTCTCTCCTCTCCCTTCTTTCCCCCCTCTCCTTGTGGACTTCTGTTCTGATGTGGGAGCTTTGCTGCCATTTTGCCTGGCCACCCTTGTGACTCAGCCGGGTTGGGGTGAAAGATCCTGCTGCTGAATTCTTATCTGGTTCTCCAGCAGTTTTCCCAGCAGCAGGTTCTACCCCAATATTCCCGGCGCCCTCTGGGGAGAAGCTGGAAGATGTGCTGGAAATACCTTCCAAGGGCTTGTTTGCAGCCAAGCCTAACTTAAGGCTCTTAGGGGACCCCTTGGCAGAGCCTGCAGTGGCCACGTGAGTTTTGCTTCCTCTTGCACCAGTGAGGGTCGCATCAGCTTTGTCTCCGCCTGCCTGTCCAGAGCCTGCTGCTCCCTCTGTCACTGACTCTTTAACATGCTCTTTAGATTTTGTTCTTGGGATGGCTATATTAATCTTGGAGGTGGATTTGTGGGAGTCATGCTGGATTCCCTCCCCCCCAACATAAGCAGCATAGGTGGCCCCACACACCTCAGAAACCATGTGGAGGCTCCTGATGCTAACCTGGTCTTGATCCCCTTTAGCATGTAAATCCCCAGCCCCCAAACTTGTCTTGTCCTCTTCCTCAAACACAGGCATGCAGATCATCTCCTTGGCCGGGATGGCGTACATACTGTTGTTACTGTCCACTGGTGGTCGCAAGAGGTAAATTAGTTTTTCCCAATAGGCAAAGAGGTCTTCCCAGGCATCCAGAGGAGGGCACAGCTGCAGGTAGCACGACCGCCCAGTGGCAAATTTCAGGCGCAGCTGTTGTTTGTCACGGTCATGAATAGAGATCCTTACAAACTTCAAGGGAAGGAGTCTGGTGAGCTCCATGGTCTTTGCAGACTTACGACCTTTTCCCTTGGTGCGTCCAGCGAGCCCCTCATGTCCAGCAGCTGGCCGGGCCAGCAGCATGACATCAGGGAGTGGGAGAATGGGGCTAGTGCAAGCGATGCCGACGGTCACCATCCGGACTCGGTTGTGCACATCAATCACTTCTCCTCTTTTGGTGATCTGGATGAAGTCGCTTTCAAATATCGGTGCATATTTGAATATGTCATATTCTCCCTTGTACAGCTGCCGCTGCAGCTTCCCCATGGTGGTATTGAACATGCCTACCCCAGAGCCACTTTGGGCAGTGTAGTATGGTAACAGACACTCACTGTTCGCGGTCATCTTTTATCATAAGAGCGCTGGCAAGGCTGGTCCGAATCTTTCTTAGCCTCCTGGGCAGATGAGGGAGCAGAAGCGGTGCTCCTGGGTCACAGAAGTGGTGCCACAGCAGGTCTCTCAACACCAAACCACCCCACCCCACAAACCCCTCCACCTTTGCCTCAGAGCCTCCCAGAGGCCAGGCTTGGGGTGGGAGCACAAATGATAGACAAGGGGGCACTGTAGTGTGCCTGGATCCCAAACTGAATCTCTTTAAAGACTGAAGAGATGTAGGGTGGGTTCCAAGAGATTGTCTTCTGGGTCTAACCCCCCCACGTCCACCTGTGATATTTTACTTCGCTGAGAGTCAACAAACTGCAGTCCTAGTGGGAGAAGTGACCACCCTCTTGGCCTCAACCTCCTGCACAGCCATATTTATCCTCTGCTGCCCTTTGTGACCTGTCACTGTCACATACCCCTTTGTTTTCATACCCCAGTTGCTCCTACAGAGGACAGGGCCACCCTGCCAAGGGACTCGGGTATGTGCAAAAATAAAGATTTTTCAAATGGAACAATTTTGTATGGATGCTTCCTTCCCAACCCCAAATTCAAGAGACTCAACAACAGGAAAGTGTCTATAAGACTGCAAGAGGATGGGAGAGATGTGAACCCTCTGAGTTCATGGTTTAATTTTATTGAGTAATTTAGAATTGGTAGCCTTGGTCCTTAGACTGTCCTTCCATAAAATTGCAGTAGACGTTGACAATGATAATTGTAAACACTAACTATGACCTTTAATAATTAACATAACTTAATAACAAAAGGTTTCTTCTCCTAAGAACTATATTACATATTTTGCATGCTATTGTAAGAACCCATCAAGTTTGATATTATTGTTACTGTACTCATTTTACAGATTTAACAAAAAATTGAGGTTGTATCACTTATATTTTCATAAACTAATATTATTTAAATCCAGGTATAACTGACTCTAAAATCTTCATTCTAAACACTACAGAGACTCTGCTTCCTGATGCCATATCCTTAGCCACTCTCCTCCATCATGCCTTCCGCTGTGATGTTCTGCCTCACTTCGGGCCCAGAGCAATGGAGTAGGTCATCTATGGACCAAAAAGACCTCTGAAACTGTGAGCCCCAAATAAACTTATCCTTCTCTACATTGTTCTTGCCATGTCTTTTGGTCACAGTGACTGAAAAAAAAAAAAGCTGAATAAAACAGAAATTGGTACCAGGAAGTAGTAGGGTTGTTGCTGTGACTAATCTGACCATGTGGTTTAGAAACTTTTGGAGCTTTTTGGAATTTGTGGAAGGAACTTTGAAAAGTTTAAATATGCAAGCTGGAGAAGTCTTAATTTGTTGTAAATGGAGCTTAATGGGTGATTTGGAAGAGCTGACAGGACTATGGAGTGTAAAGATTGGGCTCATGAGGTTTCAGAGGAGAAGGAGGACTCTATTGGAAATTGAACTAGAGGCCACTCGTGTTACACTGAGGCAAAGAAGTTGTCTACTTTTTGTCCATGTTCTGAAACTTTCTGCGAGGTTGAATTTAAGGTGAATTAATCTGGTGGAGGAAATGTCAAGGAAGCACAGCATTGGGGTGGCATGGATATTGCTGGCATTTTAAGTCAAGTTAACCATGATAAACAGGAGCAGGAAACAGAAATATTTGAAAAACTTGCTATTTAGGTCTTGCATGGTGGTGCATGCCTGTAATCCCAGCAGCTCAGTAGGTTGAGACAGGAGAATTGCAAGTTGAAAGCCAACCTCAGTAAAGGCAAGGTGCTAAGCAACTCAGTGAGACCTTGTCTCTAAATAAAATACAAAATAGGGCTGGGGATGTGGCTTAGTGGCCCAGTGCCCCCGAGTTCAATCCCGGGTTACACGCACCCCCCCCCCACCACCACCACCGTGTGTGTGACAAAACACTTTGCTGTTTGGCCAGAAAACTGCCAAGAAAGTTGTGGTAGTTAAAGACATTTCAACCACTGAAGAAATGCTAGGTACTTTGCACAGTGATAATGGGAAAGATGGCTTGGGGGCATCTTAGGGATTGGCAACACCACACCCATCTCAAGCTCAAGGGTGTAAAAGGAAAAATTTCCTTTGAGAAGAGACCATGGAAGAATCACAGCCTGTGGGACAGTAGTTGCCTGTGTTTCTCCTTTGCTAGCAGAGCAATAAAACTTCTTTTTCTCAAAACCATGTCCTCCTTACTAGATTGACATCAGGGACAAGGACCAAGATTTTGGTATCAAATTTGGCAATCCAGATGGGACCTGAGAACAGACACTGCTCTAACTTTTCTTGGGCAGGCCTGGCTTTCCAAGCAACCCTACTCCATGCTGAAGATATAAGGTGAACTTGTTGAAAACTACTGGTGGGGAGTTAGGAAATAGATGAATTTGCTTTGAATGGAACTGGAGGAGCTGTTTCTATGAGGGAGGGAATGAGGGACCATCCCAGCAGATGCTAAAGCTTCTTTTGCTGCAGGGAACTCCTGCCTTCTCTCCCTGAACAGTACAGATCACTCCATCTTGGTCCACTTTGAGAAAAAGAAAGCAACTCAGTAAAGTTGTGACACCCTTGGCCATCTAGCAAATCGCCCCCTGTGCATGCTGAGACCTTTGCTTCCACACATCTGGTTTCTCTTCATGGGAACATCTGAACCCTCTTTGTGGAGACAACTCTGGCACCACTGATGTAGGAGCCATGGTGAAGCAGGATTAGAGAACCTAGGGATATTTACTCCCTTCTGGTCTATTCTAAGTTCTCATCTGTTTGTTGGCCTTAGGTTTGGAAATTCCCTCTGGTTGTCTGTGTTTTTGTTTGTATCTATTACTTCCTTTTTAAAGACATGGGCAATATTGTGCTGATCCTATAGATTATCTCTTGGGAAGGGTCATGGCTAGTCGGTTTCAAAGTTTCCCATCAATTGGCCATGGTTTGGGGGATCCTTTCTGATTGCCTGTCTCTGTGTTTCCTTTTTGTACAATCTTGCAGTTGGAGTTGGGTCTATTAGAGGTAAAATAAGTGGAAGAAAGGGCCACCTAAAGGAATAAGCCTGTCCATGAAAAAGATGATGATTTACTGTAATGATCCTGCCTTTCAATGTCTTTCTGAATTATTGTACAATCTTGCAGCTGGAGCTGGTCTGTCAGAGGTAATGTAAGTGGGAAAAATTCTGTATATGCAGGTTTGTCTGTTTTAAAGGTTCCCATGTGTTGGCTATGATTTTGGGGAATCCTCTCTGGTTATCTGTGTTTTGTCTTTATCTGATACTGACCCTTTAAAACATCAGTCATGCTGTGTTAATCCTACTGGTAATCTCTTGAGAAGAAAGAGCTTGGCTTAATGGGTCACCTTTAGGTATAAGCCTAAGAGAAAGATGCTTTACTATACAACAATCTGGCTTTTAAATTATTTTCTGGATTATTATACAATCTTGCATTTGAAGTCAGAGTAAAGTATATGGAAGAGATTATGTATGTATAAGTATTCATGCAGTTGCATGATAAGAAGTCTGAACAGTTAGAAATTGAGTTAAGGATGCAAAAAGTCACTTCTTCTGATGTGCAAGGATAGGACACCAGAAGAAAGGATTTAAAAAAAAAGATTTAAATACTTTCCACATAGTCCTGGCAATCTGGCCCTCTCATGGAATAAAATTTGTTGTATAATTTAAATGCATAGATAACATTTATAAGAATTGTTTCAGAATATAAATTTTTAAAAGGGCATGAAACTAGAAAAGAGATATAAGAAAGTTATATGAATGGAAATATATTTTAGAAAATTAGAAGGTAAAAGGAATGTTTCTGGATGAGAAAAGTATTTTGTATGAAAAAGTAACATTCTTGTACTAAAGTTCAAGATATGAAAGAAAGGACAGAACTAAAAATGTAAACAAGTTATAGAATGTCTAAATTGCAGAAAGTTTGTGGAACATTAATCTCAAAAAGTTCATATGTGATTAAATTGGCTATAATTAGCAAAGTCAGTCAAAGCTTTTCAAAATTTAATGTACCAATGGGAAGCAAAGTCTGAAATATTGATCTGGTCTTATCTAGCAAGACAATTTTCTTGTATTTGTTAGGTTTTATTAGTTGGGGAAAATAAGTGTTAAAGAAACTAGGATTTGTACCTGTTTTAAAGTAAAAATGATTACTTTAGTAATTGGTTAAACAAAAACTGTTACTTAGGTTATAACAATATAGTTGACACCCTAAATATATGTGACTAGATATATGTATGCATCTGAGAACTATATTTGTCTAAGTCTTGTCTAAGCATTATGTAAAAGTTCATAAAATAAAAGTTTATGTAAGTTTACCAGCAAGATAACCAATAAGTGTTCTCTTTTATACATTGTTTCTAATATAGAAGAGCCACACTGCCATTTGAAGAAGAGACCTGTCTTATATGTTTGCTTTGACTAAGTTGATTTCTGATCATTAACATCTTTTTCCTAAAAGTATAAAAGATGTAAGGCTATCCTTTGACTTTTGCTAGTACTGCTAACCCACTCAGATCTGTGATTATTGTACTGCACAGTATGGATTGTAAATTTTACTTTAAAAATTAAACTTAGTTAAATGTAAAACTTAGGAGAGAATTTTACCAAGTTGGTGTTCTCCAAACTAAAACTGTCTGTAGCAATAGTTTCCTTCAGATTTATATAGAAATAACAAATTTGGTTGGTATTTATTTATGTCATTTGCTTTATAACTCGATAAAAGTAACCTGTTGTCAATAAGTTATGTATAAAATTTTGTGTTATTCTTTACACTGGGATGGGAATTTAAATGCATTTTTTTGGAAGGTAATAAGGAAAGCCTGATTTGTTCAAAGATTGACAATGTAGAACATAAAAATATTCTGCCATCATTTTTTTTTAACAAAAAAGGAAGTTAAGAGCTCTCTTAGCAGCTGGGAATAGTCTCTGTAGTCCCAGTTGTCAAACACCTGTAGTCCCAGTTGTCACGCACCTGTAGTCCCAGTTGTCAGGAGGCTAAGGCAGGAGGATCATGAGTTCAAAGCCAGCCCCAGCAAAAGTGAGGCACTAAGCAACTCAGTGAGACCCTGTCTCTAAATAAAATA